TTAGCCATCTTGTAAACGAGAAAAACACCATTTTCTAACCTAAAAATGTAAAAAATTAAAAATCTGTATGTTAAGTTATATAATTGCTTAAATACATGTGAACAGATATAGTGGCTTCCTGCTTAGCAAAAAGTAGTACCAAATACAGTGTAAATCCTATATTTAGTTGCAAATCAACATGATTTAATGATTACCAACCTATAAGAATAAACTTTTCTTTAAGAAAATAACTAAAAAGTACAAATGGAAACCAAAATATAAATTAAGGTTTCCTGTTTGCTAATTTAAATCATGATTAAAATTGGTGATTTAAATCACTTCAATTTTAATCAATCCATCCATCCTGTCTCCTTGTAGATAGTTATTTATGTTAGTTATTTATTTATTTGGATAGTCACCACTGTTTATATATATTTTTCTTCCTACATGTGTCTACATCTCCCAACCCCCCCGAACTGCATACCTTTTACATGTCTTTTTGCAGAACTTCATGGCCCCCTGTGCTCAGCTTGGCTTACCCCAATACTGATTCTCCCCAGCTTTGCTCCCTTCCCATGTTTGCCAACAGCATCAATCCTCAACATCCTTCTGTCACATTCGGATTTTACATGTGGATATGTATTGACATTTGTATATGTCCATGGTGATACATATAAAGATAGATTCATATCAGCATTTACAAGGAGTAATGGTCTCAAGTTGTAGTGGGGGAGGTTTAGGTTGGATATTAGGAAAAAATTTTTCACTAGGAGGGTGGTGAAGCACTGGAATGCGTTACCTAGGGCCGTGGTGGAATCTCCTTCCTTTGAGGTTTTTAAGGTCAGGCTTGACAAAGCCCTGGCTGGGATGATTTAGTTGGGGATCGGTCCTGCTTTGAGCAGGGGGTTGGACTAGATGACCTCCTGAGGTCCCTTCCAACCCTGATGTTCTATGATTCTAAGGACCTTGTAGCTCCCGCCGCCCCCCCCACCACCCCACTTATGGGTCACAATAAATATGGAAAGAAGAAATGCATTTTCTCTCCGTTGGCTTTCCATGACTTCAACATATCTCCCACAAAAACGGTTTGGGTGCTTATTCCATACTTTATTTCTTTGCATCTAGTACAAGTATAGGGACAAGAATGAGTTTAAATTCTGGATTTCATGATTTTTGCACTTTGCATATTGTTTGGCTCTGTGTTCTCTTCTGCACATTCACACTAGAGTGCATATATACTATGCTATGACGTTGCTCAGAACATTTCTTTTAGTGTTACCAGTTTCAGGAACTTCCAAGGTGGAAGCTGCTTACATTTTTTATTTTCCTAGTTACATGCTTTTATTTGTTGTTTTAATCACAAACTGGAATAGCACATGTAGACTCTTCAGCTTTTGATGGTTTTGTTTGACAGAATTCCCAGCACAGATGAACCATTCATTCCAGCCCTATCATTAGTATTATTTATACGATGCCATAAATGTGCATAGCACTCTACAGACAAAATTTCACTGTCCTTGACTTGAGGAACTTGCAAGAATATATGGCGGGAGGGTAGAGGGATGAGGGAACACACCTTATGGGTATTTTAGGTTAGTGATGCATGCTTCTTGAAGGTTTTATTGTTATTATTTTAAATACATTGACTTTGAGGGAAGATTAGGGTAAGAAGCATGCTTGAAGGAGAGACATAATGGAGGACAGGGTGGAAGCATGCTAGGCAGAGTCAAGAAGAGGGTTACAGACATGGGTGATTGCCTCGAAGAAGGTCTAGAGAGTGGGAAAAGATAAGGGGGTGGTTGTGGTCAGGCAAGCTGCAGGGAAGGAATGAAGGGTGGTGAGGGAGGTAGTGGGGGAAAAAAGGGTAGGAGAGAGCTGATTTGTGCAGGGCCTTGCAAGTGAGAACAAGGAGTTGAATTTGATATAGAATGTGAGCAGAAGACAATGAAAGTATCTGAAGAGGGGCTGGGCATCATCCCAGCGGTGGGGATGTTAGAAAAGCTTCACAGCTGCATTCTGGTTGGAATGTGGGGGAGGAAGAAAAGAGTCAGGGAGGCCAAAAAAGGGGAGTTTACAGTAGTCAAGGGAGGTGGAACCAGGTCTGCACAAGAGTTTTGCCATAAGGAATGGATGGATGTTGCAAAGGGAAAAAACAGCAGGATTTAGGAATAATATCAATTGAAGAGGAAGAGAGGAGTAAAAACCAGCACTGAAGTTGCAGTCTGAGGGACAAGTAAAGATGGTGGAGTTACCAACAGAGACGGAGGAAGAGGATAAGAGCCCTCTATGGAGTTGTCCTGTTGTTGATATGTAACATTAATGTTAGCAAATATATTTGGCATAACTTGGAAACTTCCATTTAAAAATATCATATCTAATTATCTCCTAAATGCCTGGCTTCAGCTTGGTGGGAGTTCAAACTGGAAAGTCTTTGTTAAAATAACAATCAGTCAACAACCTAACCAAGGGATTTTAATAAATGGGTATTTTTGCAGACACTTATAGCAGAACAGGTGGGAAGCCAGAGAATGATGATCTGTAGAGAAGTTAATTCTCACTGCAGCATTGTGTTCATACTGCAAGAGGATAATGTGCTGTATCACTTTGTCTTGCATTGTTTCCATATAGTGAGGTAACATTTTGACAGTGGCAGATGCCTGTGCGCACAGGAAGTGTGGACATACAGATGTGCATGAAATTCAGAACTTTATCACTTCCTAGAAACCAGCATGGTTTAGACTTCATTTATAGGAGAGCATCAGTCCTTTTTCTGTCTCTTATTTCAGAGAACTAATATATTATCTGAGTTACATACATTCATAGTAGGCTTCCGTTCTGGATAAAATATAAATACATACGGCTGAAGAGTTTGTAGAGCACATTGACCTTTCAATAACCAGGACATCATCATGCTTATAAAATGAAGACAAAAATAACTCTCTCCAGTACACCATTGGGCATTAGTAGTGCATAGCACTTACATAACGCTTTACAGCAGCCTGAAAGACATTAATACTTCTTCACAACACTCCTGCCGAGGAGAAATAGCCTCTCATTTTACAGATGGAGAAGATGATGAGACAGAAAGCTAAGTGACTTGCTGAAACCATCATTGCTGAGCCACAATTATAGCTGAGAAACTTCTTTTTTTCTTTTCTTTTCACATTGCCTCTCAGATGGGCCGTTTTAGGGAAAACGGAGGATGCTGAAATACTGTCCATTTAAGAATGGCTCTCCCTTTTACCCAAGGTTTAGGAAAGGAGTCATGTTCTCCTTCACTTACTCTGAGTTAATGCAAGGAACAAATAAAGATACATAGTTTAACACATTGAAGATGATGGTCCCAAAGATGAAAAGCAAAACACTATAGCAGAAGTCCCGACCCCTGGCAGGTGTTCCCTGCAGGACTGAAGCCCTGAGGCCCCCCTCCCCACTGGGCAGAAGCCCCTATCACCCCACCCCACTTCAAGGCAGAGGTTTTGAGCTTTCCCCCGAGTCTGGTAGGTGGAGAATGTGTGTGTGTGCGGGGGGGCTCCACGAGCCGCACTTTAATGGTAAAAGAGCTGCATGTGGCTCGCCAGCCACAGTTTGGCCACCCCTGCACTATAGGTTTGAAACCTGCAAGGTGCTAAACACTCTGACCTTGACCCATTGAAGTCAATGGGACTATTCCTCTGCAGTTAGACAAAGGTTGAAGTGCCTTGCTGGCTGGGGTCACAATGCTCAGCACTTGAAGACTGGAGCCCTGAATGCTGCAGAAAAAAACGGAGATTTGAGAGAAAGGTAAAGAAGGATGTTTGAAACATTGTGTCTAAAGGATGGAACCATCTGGACGACTGAAAAGATTGGATACTGGACTTTCTATCTTCATTGTTCAGTAATTGTTATAGCTCCCATTTAACGTCTGATCCTTTTGGCTACAAATATGTTGAATAGGCCATGCGATAGGGTGCTCAGAGGGCTGGGTGTCGCACCCAGCTTCTGGCCTCTCTCTGTCAGGGTGGTAGAGGTGCCCGTTTCTGACCCTAAGCCAGGAATCTTTTGTTCTCCATCCACATCTAGGCCTCAGCCCTTAAAGGGGCTTGTTATGGGGATTTTATTTTTTATGGAGTCCCCTACACCGAACCTATGTAGGTATTTATAGGGTCGCCACTACTATGGTATCTGAATGAGTGTACGTAGCACTTTACAACCACATAAAAATAAGATCTTCGCTCTGAAAAGTTTACATTCCAGTTGAGACAGACAAATATGAAACACAGGCAAACATTTCAGAAAATGATCTTTTTTTAAAAGACAAGTAACCATAACTCACTATTTCCTTGGTTTCTAATATTTGGTTTGGGAGGTTTTTTTCTCTCTAAAATTCATGGAAGATCTTGTTTACTGAAAACACTGCGACCACACTTGAAAGGTTTCCACGTAGGATTTCAGTACAGAGTGAGTATACCCTTGTCTGGAAGAGGCCTTCAGAACCATACCAAATACCAGGTTGTAAGTGATTATTCTGAGTTCTTAAAGATATATTTTTATGAATTTTGATGATATATTTCTCAGCGATATATCATGATGGAGTATACATGTTAAATGGTATGTTGCTTCAAATGATAAAATGTAACTATTTTTATTATCATTTGATGTTATTTAGAACCACAAAGTAATAATTTTATACTACTGTAGTTTTACAAGCAATTAGTGCAAAACTCTGTTTATAGAAGAGTAGAATGCAAATTTCATTTGTTTCAATATATTACATAGGAAAATTCCAGTTTGCCATTCTTGTTAGAATGAAGTGTGAGAGAGTGTGTGTTTGTGGTGAAACCCTTACCACAAAAATGAAAATACTGTTGGAGATGCAAGTATATACTGCCTTCTATCAAAGGATTTCAAAGCACTTCAACAATATTTAATGAATTTAGCTTTACTTCCAGAAGTTATATATACTGATGTGTAGAAAATTGTTAACTGGAAATTTCCTCTGATGGAAAATGAATAATCTGCATTCTCTATATTTGTTGCAGGACACCGAGGCTTGTTTGACCACACTTTAAACAGCATAAGCTCAAGGATAACACAAAGGAGACTACAAGGGACTTGTCCACCCATCGGTCGTGGAAATTTTGGAAAACCTTTCTTTGGTGCAAACAGTTATAGTTCCCCATTTTTAAACCCCCGGAATGGTTTTCACACTATCCATTCAGAGAATAGCCCTGTAAAGCCGAGGATTGTTACAGTGGTGAAACCAAGTGGACACACACTCAGGAAGATCACATTGCTTCTGAACAGGCGATCTGTCCAGACTTTTGAACAGCTGATGGCTGATATTTCAGAAGCTCTGGGATTTCCACGTTGGAAAAACGATCGTGTGAGAAAACTTTACAACCTGAAAGGCAGAGAAATAAGAAGTGTTTCTGATTTCTTCAGAGACGGTGATGCATTCATTGCTATGGGAAGGGAGCAGCTGACTTTGAAGAACCTTGAAGTGGTAATGCAAGAACTTTATCCCAGTAGCCCATATGCTCTTGGTATAATTCAACAAAACTTGGAACAGTCCCAAAAACTTAAGAGCAGGCTGTGTGACAAAGCTGTGGATAGTGGCTTTGAGACAGAGATTGCCAAGAATGGCAATGATGCCATATCTTCCCAACTAGTAGCCAGGCATGAAGGAGAAATTCAACCTAAGACCAGGCAAGAAGAAAAGGTGAGGGCCAAAAAAAAATGGGGCAGAGAGAGTTGGGGCAGAGAGCAAGATGTGAAGCCATCTAGACAAGCCAGAGAAGGAGAAAGGTACTTTAATCAAGAGAAAAGTCTTGAGAATGAAACAGAAAAGAGTTCAGATGAGATAATGAGATGTGAGAAGTGTCAAAGAGAGAGACAGCTCAGGCAAAAACTACAAAGGGAAAGGCAGGCTGATGTTTCATTTGAGAGCAGAGACCTGAATGTGGGAATGTGTCAGAGATATAATTTAGAAAGGAATGTAAAAATAAGGAATTGTAGGAAGTCTTCAGAAAACTCCTTAGAAGGTGAGGAAGTTGAACGGAAGGATACTGGCTGTAGAAAAAGCTGGAAACCCTTACAAAGGAGTGTTAATGAAGAGCTAGAAAACCAAAAAAGGAGTTTGGAGAAGGAAAGGAATCCAGAAAGGCATGAGAATCATGACAAAGAGTTAGTAAAGATTAAGAAAAATACTATGGAAGCTCTGCAGGTGGCTCCTGAAGCAAAGAAAGAGAATAGAAGCAGTTCCAGAAGTAATCAAAGTTGTTGGTTAATGAAGGACTGTCAAGGAGATGCAGGGAAGCCTATAAAAGCAAAGGGAGAGGGCAAAGAGGTGCGGAAGGCAAAAGAGGAAGGTGCTGGAGGGGAAGAGAATGTAGTGCATGGAGAGAATGAATTGACAAGGATGAAAAAGATGGGAGTACATAAAGCTAACAAAGATGAAAAAAAGCCACAAGAATTTGAAAGCACGAGGCTGAGGCGAAATGTCCATACTAGAGCTGATGTGGAGAGCTATTATGAGATAGGCAGAACCATTGGGGATGGGAACTTTGCTATTGTGAAAGAGTGCCGGTGCTGCAACACCAATGAGAACTATGCCATGAAAATTGTTGATAAGTCCAAGCTGAAGGGGAAGGAGGACATGATGGAAAATGAGATTTTGATCATTAAGAGCCTTTCTCATCCCAACATAGTGAGCTTGATTGAGGTGTATGAAACTGAGGCTGAGATCTACCTAATCCTGGAGTATGTCCCAGGAGGGGACCTATTTGATGCAATCATAGAGAGCATAAAGTTCACTGAGCACGATGCTGCTCTCATGATAACTGATCTGTGTGAGGCTCTAGTTTATATTCATGGCAAGAACATTGTCCACAGAGATCTGAAACCAGAAAATCTTCTGGTAAGTACTGAAGTTTAGTATGTTGCATCTGTCCAGAAATTATTGTGGGTTTTTTTTGTTTTTTGTTGTTTTTTTTTTTGTGTGGGTGGAGAGTTGTAGATATGTAGTTTTTTTTAACTTTTAAACAAGTACAGTACAGAAAAAATCCAGTAGTAAGGAAAAGATACACACTGTACTGTTATCATTTTCAAAGAAATACATGTACAAAGGTGAAGAGCAATCAGTATTATAGTTTCCTTAGCACAAATACAGAGAGGCCTACCATATAGTGTAGATGCCTGCAATTGTGCACCTAACTAATTGTGCCCTGACTTTCAGGGATGCTGAATGTTTGCAGTTTTTCTGAAAATCAGGCCTCTTATTTAGGGACACATTTTTAGGCACAGAAGCTCAAACATTTTGCCTGAAGTGTACTCTGAATCATAAAACATTTCACATGTGAACCAAAAATTATTAAATAATGCCCATTCAACCTGTTAATTTGAAGGTCACTTTCTCCATTGCAGCTATATCGTTCAGTCCAGCACTCCAGTCCTCTATTGGAAATTGTATGGTTATTTCTAACGTTGTAAGGATTATGCCTGTTACTGATAAGTGCATGATGCAACTGTTTACTTCATGCACCTGGAATTTACTCACTGATTGACAAGTCTCCTGAAATGAAAACATATATGTCCCGTGAAGTATGGTACTGAAGTCAGCTGAAGTATTAAGCTCCTCCCAAAGAGCAAAATTCTAACTTGGCTCCCAAAGCCAAAAACATTTACACACGTTCTTAACTTCAAGCATGTGAGCAGTCCCACTGAAGTCGATGGGATGACTCGTGATTACATGTAAGCACGTGCGTAAGTGTTTGCATGACTGGAGCTTTGGGTTATGCCCTGTACAAGGTGGTAAAAGTGAGTTATTCTGTCTTGCTGGTCATGCATTTTGTACTCTTCACCAATATTCCAAAATTCTGACCAGATGGAAAACCACAGATGGCTGTATTTGCATGTCTTGAACAACTCTAATTCTATCTGGTAGAAAAGGAACATAGGAAAAAAACTGGACTCCTTGCAAGCCAAATCCCTAAAGGAACATATGCGTCTCATGAAAGTATGTCCAGTGTGACAAAGAAGGAAGTAGCCTGTGGGCAGACAGAATGGGATAGATATGAAGGGCTTGCTTTGGAACCCAGATGGATGTGTCTGACAATGTGGGGACTGGCTTCTGGTGAGTACTGGTCAGTCTCAGGAGTACTGGTCAGTCTCAGTCTTGGGATCTGGTCTGCATGAGAAAAGATGGAGGACATGATGTGGATTGAAGCAGCTGGGTGTGTGGAGAAGTGTATTTCTATGCTCTGCCTTGAGCAGGGCCTGCACACCCTATTATTTTGGCATGTGTGATGGTGCACCCCATAAGGCTTTATGGAAAAATGTTTGAGTGTGTGTGTGTGTGTGTATATATATATATATGACATAACTGGAATATGTTCTATGCTACCTATGCCATGTAGCATATCTCTGTAAAGGTTATGATCTACTGAATCTATTCATCCTATTTGTATGCATGTATCATTTTTGTATTCAAAGTTATGAATATTGGCTGTGTACTGGCTTGATTTCCAAGTAACCTTAGTAGAGCAGTTGGTCAGTTCCTTGAGAAAGGAATGTGCAAATTAGGTGCGCAATCAAGAAACACTTAAATTACAAGATTACAATGAATCTTGTAAGGCTCCAATGCACATAAGAAGTCTACCTGAGGACGTTCAAGGAAGCATATGAACCATGGCTGCTACCTGTAAGTTCTGAGTCAGGCCTGGACATGTGACTTGCCCATGTGACTCCAAAACTCCATCTTGTAGCTGGACTTCTACACAGGGGGAGGGAGGGGTATCCACCCACAAGAGAAAGTGTATTTAAACCCCTGGGAGACCCCTCCATTTTATCTTCAGCTGGCTAAGGAGATAGCCTCTCACCGCCAAGGAAACCTGAAAGAAACTGGAACAAAGAACAGTAACTACAGAGGGTGTGAGTGATTGCTGGATCCAGACTAGAAGGAGTCTAGTCTGTAAAAGGAAGCTTACTGGAATTCCTCTAAGGGTGAGGTTTTTATCTGCATTCAGAGTTCTTACTGTATTAGACATAGACTTGCGTGTTCTATTTTATTTTGCTTGGTAATTCACTTTGTTCTGTCTGTTACTACTGGAACCACTTAAATCCTACTTTCTGTATTTAATAAAATCACTTTTTACTTATTAATTAACCCAGAGTATGTATTAGTACCTGGGGGGGGGGGGGGGGAAGACAGCTGTGCATATCTCTCTATCAGTGTTATAGAGGGTGAACAATTTATGAGTTTACCCTGTATAAGCTTTATACAGGGTAAAATGGATTTATTTGAGGTTTGGACCCCATTGGGAGTTGGGCATCTGAGTGTTAAAGACGGGAACACTTCTTAAATTGTTTTCAGCTAAGTCTGCAGCTTTGGAGCATGTGGTTTAGACCCTGGGTCTGTGTTGGAGCAGACTGGTGTGTCTGGCTCAGCAAGACAGGGTGCTGGAGTCCCAAGCTGGCAGGGAAAGCACGGGCAGAAGTAGTGTTGGCACATCAGTTGGCAGCCCCAAGGGGGTTTCTGTGATCCAACCCGTCAATCATGAAATGTGTCGCATCATGAAATGCCCTCTCTTTTCACTTACAGAATTCAAGTGCACTCTTTCTGAAGCTAGTTTTCCATTATGAACCAGGTTTTGACCCTTCCTCCAAACTTTACCAGAATTACATCAATGCTGGTAAAATACTTGGGGCTTGATACTTCATTTCCCTGCATGTGTGTAGGTACTTATCCCAGTGCAAAGATTTTCTGGCACTTTACACCCACTTTGTACTGGTATAAATTACTACACAAGGTGCAAAGTAATGGAGAATCTGTCTCCTAGTGAACATTTACAGGATTAACATGTTCATGTTGGCCACCCTGTTGCATACAAATAAGGTACAATGGAATACAGAAGATTTTATGAAGAGAAACTTGCCTAATGTTCAGCAGATATTTGTTCGGATTAGAGCATGGATATTTAAAGCTAATGAGAAATAGCTGTTTACAAAATTGTGTTTTAGAGGCCTTCTACTGTTATGTGGCTGAATACCTATAATAGATACTGTCTTGCTGGTCATGCATTTTGTACTCTTCACCAATTGGAACTCACCAATATTCCAAAATTCTGACCAGATGGAAAACCACAGATGGAAAACCACCTCAGCTGGTTGTAACTGGGTATATCAATCATATCACATTCAAGAGGTTGAATGGGCTATTAATACAAATGAGTTTAGGAACCTCCAATATTGTTTTGTGTATTTGTAGATACTGCTGTAAAAGGCTGTTTGAAATTCTCATATTTATGAAAGCCTTGCAAGGAAAAAGGAAAAATTCCTTTTAAACAAACAAATCAATCCATAGTGGCCATGATATTTTAAAACTCAATGTTAAAAGAAGTATTACACATAGGGGTATTATGGAAGGAGCTGAAATTGAGGTCATGGCTATTTTTTAAATATATAGTTCTTAAACTTTTACAGTTACAGTGATGGTTGCTTGTCAGTCTGTAGGAAATGAATTTATGCTCCACATCTCAAAAACTGCAACCACAATTGGCACTAATTAGTTCCCTTGTTGGCAGTCTTGGCAGAGAGGACAAAGTCTGAATGAAGCATAGAGGCTGACCTGTCCTTTCACGCATAAATGTCTTGAACTGTGCTATTGTTGAGCTTAAACTTTTGTTATTAATTTGTCAAGTTCTGCAGAATGTCAGTTGTCATTTGGTGTTTTTGCTTTCCTTTTTCTTTAGTTGCCAAGCCCTTTTCTTTTCCCATTCTTCATGTTAACCAGGAACTTGCTTGTCTCTTGGGTCTTGCATTTGTCCTTATGGTAGAACCTTAGTTTTTGATTGATATGCTATTTGGGCCGATTGATCTTTATTTCTAATTATAATGCTTGGTGGGGGTGGTTTTTGTAAGGCACTTATGTGTGTATTTATAAACACAATACATTCAAGAAATAGTTTTTAACTTTCTGACCTTTTAATGTGACCCATTGTAGTACTGTTTCCCTGAGTGTTCAGACAGACTGAAAAAATGGCATAGGAGGGACTGCTCCCAGTAATCTTAAAGTGCTGTTAATTGAAGACTAGCAATGACAGATGTCAAACCCATGCTAATGGTCTCATCCCATTGTCATATGCATTTGGCAGGTAATGGGGTGTGGAATGGGTCCTGGGGAGGGGAGTCTCTTCAGTTTAAACAAAGAGTGCTGCTGCGGGTGTTGGAACCCTACAGTGTTTCTGTTTTCTCCTTGACTATCAGAGCCTGTCCTCATACTGGATTACCTGACAACTTTCAGGACTTGGGGAATGGGAGGTGTGGTTGTTTGTTTGAAAAGTGTGACTGTTTGACCATGTGGTTGTTTGTTTGAAAAGTGTGAATTGGGAGTGCTTTTTTCCAGGTGGGCCTTGAGTCGTTGATTGGAGGGAAGGCTTTGAGCTGTGGCAACTGCTTCGAGCCAGCAGCCTTATACAAAACGAGCCAACTACAAACGGAGTGAGCTGTGAACCGAGGAGAAGCAAAGAGAGGGAGTTTGCCTAGGGGAGTTCCCACAGAGTTTTTGCCTTTTCAGGCTTCTATGAGCAGTAAATATAATATCTGAAGAGGCTCTTAGAAGGAAGACAATATGGATAATGAGCAATCAGCTGTTGGAACCTGCATAGGATGTGTCATGTTTGTCTTTCTCCCAGAGGATAGAAGTTACTTCATCTGTACAAAGTGCAAGCTGGTCTCCATATTGGAAGAGAAGATTAAAGGACGAGAGACCCAAGTATCAACCCTACGTTGCAGAGAAAATGAAGACTTTCTGGATAGAAGTCAGTGTTTTGGTACTGCAGGCACAGCATGCTGAAGAATCAGAGAAGGCAGTGCAGCCCGGGGAAGAAAATTGGCAGCATGTGACCTACAGAAGAAGAA